TATGTCTGGAAGAGCAACCGCCATGAGAAAGAAAAGCTCAGAAGCGGAATGGAAATCACATTCTTTTGAGTGGTTGAAACGTACTAGTGAGAAGACCGTGGTTATGATAGGCTAGGGGACAGAGCAGAGAAATATAAGGCTCTATGTGCCACATTGGGAATGAGAATTCATGGTATACTTGTGGTTTATGAAGATCTCTTTGGGTAAGTGCATAGCAAGGAAATATGAACTATTCCTTTAATGCAGTTAGCGTAGGAAATCTGGGTTGTCTGACATGTGATTCCACACTGTTCTAGTTTGCTTTTCTATTGTCAGGATAGGCACCATAACTAAAAGCAATTTAGGGAGAAAAACGGTTTTTGTGATCACAGCCCCATTGAAGGTAGTCAAGGCACAAACTCGAACAAGAGCAGAGCCAGGAACCATGAGGGAATCTGCTTACTGGCTTGCTTAACCTCCTTTGCCTAGCTAACATTCTTACACAATCCAGGCCCTCCTGCCTGGGGATAGCACCACCCACAGTGGTCTGGACCCTCCTGCATCAGTTTGCAAAAGAAAATTCCCCATAGAGATGCTTACAGGCCAATCTGATGGGAGAAAACCCTCAATCTAAGTTCAGTCTTCACTGAGAATGTCAAATTGACAAGCAAGATTGAGCATCACACATACCTTTGCACACTAGGGTGTGTTATATTGCTGTACCTTCCCAGGTACAGCAATATAGCTGGTAATACCCACCCTCAATGGCCTGTTGTAGCATTCAGTATTGCACTGCACTAACCAAAATAATTTGGTAACTAGTCAAAGAATGGTAACTTTTATGGTGATATTATGCTGGTAACTCGTTTGGACATTTTGAGTAGCGTTGCCATGCAGGATATTAAAAGCCGTAACAATTGACACTTGAACTTAAACAGTGTGTTAGAGCACAACAAATATTCTGTTTTCTTGACCGCTTTAGGCCATACATAGTGCTGGATGATAAGATTTAAGTGATGTAGGTCTATATCATAATGAATAAAAAAGACTGCAGAGTGCAGTGTGTTCTATAAGAGTCTAGCCTACTGAGTCTCAGTTTATAAGGTATGGCAGTGCGTTTGACTTTACTAACATATATGGCTCAAATGCTACATAGTGGAATGATGATGGAGACATAGCCATGTTTTCAAGAGGCAGGTGGGAACTTCAGACCCAACATTCAGAGCGTAAGGAACTCATAGAAACAGGAGTTGACGAAGCTCCACCACAACAAATCACCCAAATGATAAAGGTTTTAGGAGCCTGAGCGATGGCTCAGCAGTAAGAGCACCGGATGCTCTTCCAGAGGACCCAGGTTCAATTCCCAGCACCCACATGGTAGCTCACAACCTCTGCCATTCCAGAGGATCCGATGCTCTCATCTGGCCCCTGTAGACACAGGCCCACACGTGGTTCATAAATGCAGGCAAAACATCCATCTACCTTAAACAAACAAATGAGAACAAAAAAAGGAAAAAGGAAAGAAAAGCACTAATCAAACAAATCAAACACATTATGCAACAGTTATTATGTAAGGTGTGAAAGTAAATGGTTAGGGCAGCTTGTAAATGCCTGTGATGTGCCTGCATCTTGATCTTTGCTGGATATTAAAAATGACAAAGAAAAAATGGAATTTGAGACCAGAGAAGAAGAGGTAGGATTTGGCAGATGATTACAGACAATGCAATGAAGGAGGGGCTTAAGCCATGGAAGAGCTGGACAATGGAAGAGGAACCTTTACTAAGAAAGCCTCACAGCTGAGTTTGCCCAGTGCCTACTAAGTCAGGGCCAGGGGCTCTTAAATCTGGCTTTCTGTTTCAATCTCCCTGAAGAGCTGGTTATAAAGGAAGTAGGTTTTTCTGGTTTCCTGTAGACACTCCCACAGAGGCATTTATGCTGCGGTACCTTTTAAATATTTTTTAAGTGGCAATTTCACGAATACAGAAGTGACACTTTTGTTTCTATTATAGACGGACTTTTTGACAAAAATTTATAATTCAAGCTAAATAACATTATCACTTGTTTAGCACTCTTCCATAAATGGATGGATTACTAATCTTCCAGCCATGACAGCTGTTGGGTTTTCCTGGCACTTTCAGCAAATAATAGTTTTTAGGACTCTCCTTAGACTCTGAGTCACAAAAGAAAGATTTCCAGGATGTGTTAATTAATGACTTCCAATGGAAATGGAGAAGGCGGTTGTGGGCGAGTGATTGATATTTACATCCTGTGGTGGCTGAGCTCAATTATACCATTGAAACCTAGAACAATGAACCACTTTGAAGACCAACTTCTCATATTCTTCTGTGTTCTGTGTCTACTTGTTCTGGAGGACTGTGGGCTGCTGAGAGTCTTTGAATGAAAAAGCCTTTGTGTGCAAAGGTGAGAAATCTGCCTTCTTGGTCTCTTATTTGTGATGACGCCTTGTCACGCACGTTCAGCTACCACCACCGAGCTTACACAGCACCTCTCCAACTTCTGATTGGTTTGTTACCGTGGAAACACGAGTCCCCATGAACATACCACTTTGGGTTTTAAAAGCGGTTTATCACAATCTCTACCTGTTTGGGAAGGTTCCTTGATTCACACGTATGGGGTCCTCTGGAACAGGTGTCATAATATGGACTATAGTATGAAGTACGTTCCTATTTTCCATAGAAACCCTTTGTGTCAACATTTCTTGCCTTTCAAAATAGAAATGACTTGTGTTATTTACTATAATTAGGAAATCAATAGAACTATGTAAGTAAGTAAAATCTTTCAAGCCACCAACTTGCAAATGCAATCCAGTTGAGAAAAAGTATGTGCTTTCTACTTGACACTGGACAGTTATGCCATGCTGCTTAATGCAGAAATCACAGCAGGAAGTTAGAGCCACATTCTGTCCTGTCAAGAAGGCTGGAAGTGGTGGGTCCCTGGCTGTGCCATTTATGTGTCATTAGGCTAGCATTCCCAAATACCAAGATTGTAACTTTCATTAACATTTTCTAATCTAAATTTCAGATGTGAAAACAAATGGTTTTGGAGCTGGAGGTAAGGGTCCCTCTGACTTTTGGTTTGTTTTTAAATGGTCTTGATTCTTCAAGGCATACTTTCCAGTAAAGGTACCATTTAGGATGGTGTGATAAGTACACTAATTCATTATCACTGATTTTATCCAAGTAGCATTGTGCTAGTGTGCATATTCCATTTTTGAGTATCTATTCTAGGTGCTAAGAATCTGTAAGGATGTTAGTAAGAATTCTGATCTCTGGTTTTCAAAAATCCAGAGCCTTATGGATAAATAATACCCTTTCATTGAGGGGAAATTTTAATTGCTCAGTATTGGAAGTTTGTACTCACAACTGACTATATATGTGAAATTGGCTGGATGAAACTGATTGATTGATTTGTAACAAGGTCTCACTGTCCATAGTAAGCTGGCCTAGACCTGAAGAATCTCCTGTTGCAGCTTTTGGGATGTTGAGAATACATGTCTGCACCATCATGCCTGGTTGTTGGAGGAACTTTCATCAGTTAAGAAGACGCCAGGTGTTAAATTGCTAATACAGAGAAGGGACAAATTTCTTTCTCCAACAAAACCCATGTTTCAGAAATCAACTTTATTCTTTTCTATAGTCAAACTTATCTCAATTTCCTCTTTTGTCTAGTGGTAAGAAATCTTATCATGCAAATTTAAGATAAACTTAGTCAGTGTTCAGTGTGTGGTTATAGTTTTCTGGGCCGCATCCCCCAAGGTGCTTCATTTTCTTGGGTCTTTCACAGTAGTAAGAGCTCAGGTGCAAGACTTGCTATCATCATTAAAAGTAATAGTCCATTTCCAATGATCTCCACTCTCTTTGCCTTGGGACTTTACTGCATTATTTCACTTGCTGTAAAGCAATTATTCTCAACCTTCTTAATGTTGTGACGCTTTAATACAGTTCTTCATGTTGTAGTGACTCTCATCCACAAAATTATTTCTTTGTTACTTCACAAATGTAATTTTACTACTGTCAAGAATCATAAAATAACATAAATATCTGATATACAGACCCATGTGGAGGTCATGACCCACAGGCTGAGAACCACTGCTGTAAGGTAAGTTCCAAGAGCTTATATATAGTGTACCATGCCTGTGTTGAAGGTGTACTCATTGGTAGTCAAGGCAGGGACACTTTCAAATAGTCAACACAACTCTTTAGGATTAGAAGTTGTGACTACATGCTAGGTCTGTAGGCCAAAGATGGATACCCCAATGTTACAAAGGAAATTTGGGTGACTGTCCAGGCAGCTTGAGGTACCCATCATTAAGTAACATTTCACCCTTCTGGGGTCTTTGATGGACTTGAAGTCTAAATAGTTATAATTATAGCCTTCCTTAGTTATAATAGAAAGTAAATTAGACAGAAAACTTTAGACTCACCAAGATAAGGTAGATAATTAGGTATTTTTCTCTAATTTGGCAAAATGTAAAATAGATTAGATATTGTCATTGTAATTCTTACTTAATAACTGTCTTTGCTATATATAATCTGACTATGTTAAAGTTACAACTATTGTTTTTAATTAGACATAAAGGTAGAAATGCTATGAAATAATCCTCTTGTACAATGTAAAGATTTGTTACTCAAATTAGTTTAACAAAATGCTGATTGGCTAGTAGCCAGGCAGGAAGTATAGGTGGGGTAACCAAACTAAGGATGAGGGGAAGGAGGAGTTCAGAGTCAGGAGTCGCCAGCCAGTTATAGAGGGAGCAGGAGATGAACATGCCACGTGGCAAAGCATAAATAAAGATATGGGTTAGTTTAAATGTAAGAGTTAGCTAATAATAAGTCTGAGCTATTGGCTGAGCATTTATAATTAGAAAAAAAAGGAAGTTGTGACTACCACTGAGCAGACACTTCTAATAGTTATCCAATAAGTTGACATTTAGTAAATACTTGTTTCAGGTACTTTAGGCAAATTTACACAAAATTTCCTGGATTTACTATATACTCTACCTGCATTGGGAGTCGAGTTTCCTTCCTTCCTTCCTTCCTTCCTTCCTTCCTTCCTTCCTTCCTTCCTTCCTTCCTTCCTTTTTTTTCTTCCTTCTTTATTTTCTTTCTTTTTCTAAAAAATGTAGAAGACTCAGGTAAAGTGGCCACTGGGAGACACATTCTTATGAAATATTCCATAAGATGCCTAAGAATGTTTGAGTAAGTTGAACAGTGCATTTTCTCTTCTAAGCACAGCATTGGCTTCTGATATCCACCCCTAGGTTGATGTAGGTTGTATATTGAGGATGCAGAGGATTGCTTTCCCTGGAGATATTAATAGTTCCATTGGATTTGAAATTAAGATTGCTGCCTGAAAACTTCAGGCTCCAAATGCCACTTAATAAAAGGCAGATGGATTGAGGATTAGGGCAATGGCTTTGGTGATTTGGCTTGATCTCACATGGGGAGAAGTTTGATGTCACACACTGGGGACATAAAAGGGTAGAAACAGGATCCAAGAGATCTCTGGCATATACACATCCATTAAATGAAATAAAAAAAAACAGTACTGTAGAGGCAGGACTCCCAGTACTTTTTTAAAATTAAGTTGTAGTCCACTTCCAGGTTCCCCATCAACTGCAGCCATTCTTCCAAGCAAGAATCCTGTGGGGGGGGGCATCCCTCACCCCACATTTCCCTAGAGTACTCTTGAGTAGAAGTAGCAGGAAATATTAGTTAGAAGAAAAGAGAGGAGAGAAAAAAGATAGGAAATATAGAATAGAGACATCAGGCCCCAACTGTCTCTGCCCTAGGGTATTTAAGGAATACCAAGGGGTAGAGCAAAAAACCTCCCCCCAGCACAGCCAAGTGCAGACCATCTCAGACACCTGCACTCAGGCCCGTGGACCAATCAATCATCCTCTTTATGCAGAACTGCTGGGTAAAGACATTAGGAAACCTAAAACTGGGCTCCAACAGGATCCCATAACCATAACTTGTGAACCAGCTAGAGGTAGGCTTTGTGTGTTCTCCCTCCTTTATCACATTCTGCTACCTCAGTGCTGTTGCCACCTGCCTCAAACAGCTTCCCCCCTCCTCCAGACCACCACCCCCTTTCCTCTGGGACTTGTGGTTCACCCCAGCTCTATCTCCTACCTAGGACCCTATAGCCACCACACTTGAAGCAGATCCAGGTAGGATCCCTGTTTTCTCCCTCTCCTCCTCCACTTCAGTCAACCACACCACACCAAACCCCAGGCCTTGCATGGATCTGACATCCCATGTCCAGGGCCAGGCCAGTGAATTTTCATATCACTATTTCACCTATACCATCCTCCCATCCCCAGAGTTGCACAAGTTCCTTGCAATTCTTGTCTTCTCAATCTTGCCTGCACTGTTTCTTGTCCCCAGGCTTTGCCCCATCCCTGTGTGCCAGCCAAGTCTGATCTACCATCCTGACCCTAGCCCACTCCCACCAAATCCAACCAACAGGCACAGCCCTGGTTATGCAGCCTTATACTTAGGTATAATCTGGCAAGTTTCCTGAACCCTAGCCCATATGAACTATCCTCAGTCCCCCAAAATAGCCATAGTTACACATGCTGTGTACTGGCTCATCCTGGTGTCCATAGCCTATATACCATATTCAATGTCCACATGTTACCAGGGACATATATCTGTGCTAGAGTCCAGCCTGGTAAGTTCCTGGAACCTCACTTACCCATCTGTCCCCCACCCTCAAGCCTAACTACAAAGACTGTATGTTGGCCTAGCCCAAGGAAACTTAGCACATTACATCATACATGTAGCCAACAAAAGAAGTCCGCAAGCCCAGGTCTCATAAAACAAAATATATAGGAAAGTCCAAGACAGTATATTTCCCTCTGAAATCTCCCAATCCTATTGAAATGTTCTTCAATGAGAATTACCTAGATGGACCCCAGGTCATAGAATTTATAAGAACAATCTGAAAATTCACCAAAGAATTCAAGATGTTTAAAGAAGTTGTGAACAAACAGTATGATGAACTTATGTAAGAAGTATTGTGTAACAGTATAATGAATTATGTAATGAACTTAGAGAAAATAGCAATGCATGCCTGAGTAGTGCCCAAGAAAATGCAAGCACACATCTGGATAAAATGATGGAGAAAGTCCAGAATTTGAAAACTATACTAAGTAAAGAGATTGAAAATTTAAGGACAACTCAAACTGAAGCAAATACTGAATTAAAAAAAATCAATAACCTGTAGATGAATCTTAAAAGTTCTTATTAATAAAAACAAACCCAGAGCCAGGTATTGGGGTGAACGCTGAAAGATCAGAGAAACAGAACAAGCCACAGCCTGATCCTCAACTGATCTTGTTTCCTCAAACTGGAAGCCTCTGTGTCCTCATCTGAATGGATCTCAGGAAAACTGCTGCTAAAAGCCTCAAAGCTTAACAAGGCCCTAGTTCCTGGTCCTCACACCTTATATACCTTTCTGCTTCCTGCCATCACTTCCTGGGATTAAAGGTGTGTGTCACCATGCCTGACTGTTTCCAGTGTGGCTTTGAACTCACAGAGATCCAGATGGACCTCTGCCTCCTGAATGCTAGGATTAAAGGTGTGTGCTACCACTGCCTAAACCTATGTTTAATATAGTATCTGTTCTGTTCTCTGACCCCCAGATAAGTTTATTGGGGTACACAATATATTAACCACAACAACCCAATTAGAAATCTCAAGGGAAAGCCCAACAAATAAAATGGTGAACTAGAAGAAAGAATTTCAGGACTTGAAGATAAAGTAGAAGAATTAGAAAGAGAATGAATGGAAATAATATTCCAAGCAAATGGGACCAGGAAGCAAACAGGGGTCACTATCCTAATTGTGGAAAAAATAGATTTTAAACCAAAACTAAAAAGAAGATGTGAAGAAAGACACTTCATTTAAATCAAAGTAATGATTAATAAAAAGACATTATAAGCCTCAACAGACATGCATCAAATTTTGACACACTCATTTTCATAAAGAGCATATTACTGGAACTAAAGATGCAGATTAACTCTAACTCAGTAGTGTGATTTAAATACCCTACTTTCTCCAATAGACAGCTGTTCTGAACAAAAAAATAGACAGAGAAACATCAGAATTGAATGATATCAAATGGACCTAAACACCAAAGAATATACACTCTATTCAGCAGCCCATGGAAGTTTCTCTTAAACTAGGCAACATCCTGGGAAACAAAATAAGTCTTAATAAATTCAGAAAATTTGAAATGATTTCATGTATTCTTTATGACCACAATGCAATAAAGCTTAAAATTGACAATCAACAAATCAATAGTAGATATACAAGCTCATGGAGAGTTAATAACACATTAATGAATGATGAAAGGGTCAAGGAAGAAATCAATAAAGGTATCAAAAATTTCAGGAATTAAATAAGAGCAAGGAACCTCTGTATTTTAAGCTTTCTTCCCTCACATGGGCTTGAGTCTTGACAAGATGAAGCCTATGTGTAGAGTTTCCCCTCAGGAAACATTTCCTAGTGATACAATGAAGCCTAGGAAGTTTCTCTTCAGCAATGCTGATAGTTGTAATAATTACAAATGTTTTCTCCAAACTAGTCTGAATTTTCTCCTACCTTTACATTTCCTCTGCAAACATATCAGCCCATTACCTTTAAATTCAACTTCACTGAGTTCTTAAGAAATATACAGAATAAAATCATATTCTTGACCAAAATGCTACATGAATGACCCAAGTCCAGTCCCTAATAGAGTCCTTGTGTCCCTCTGAAACCTGCCCACTGTCCATATTTTTCTCAGCATGCTTGTCTTCTAATTTCCCAAAAAAATAGACCATTAAGCCCTGCTTATAGTATTCATGGGTTTTCCTAGCCTAAAGTTTAAGCTCTTGAACATTTCTTCTGCAAACCCAAGGGACATATGGTCATACTTTATCACATCAATGGAGCAGTACTTCAGGACCAATTTTCTGTATTACTTGTCATTCAACTTGTTATGATGAAATGCTCCAAAAAGATCAGCTTAAGGGGGAAAGCATTTATTCTGACTCCATTTAAGAATATAGTCTATCGTGGTGAAATAGTCAAGGCACAGGAACTTTAGGTCACTAGTCACATGACATTCAGAGTCAGGAAGAAGAGAACGATGAGTGTTTGCTCTCTGTTCACTTTTTCCTTTTTATGCAGCCGGGATCCCAGCCCAGGAAATAGTGCAACCCATGGTGAGTGGGCCTTCCTTCCTTAACACAACCAAGATAATCTTCTCATAGACATGTCCAAGGCATTCCAGTTCTCATCAAATTGACAATTGTGATTAACCATTACAGCCCTCGAGGATTAGAAACGCTAAAATCTTTTAGGGAGCTGGATATAGATATCATGTCTGGCTGCTTCCTGCTGAAGCAACCTGGACCTAGAGATGTTTGGTTCTTATTTGTTTCTCAGTACAGCTTTGACAGCCTAGGGTCCTTTTATAAAGGAGGTGGCTATAAGGCATAACTTACTGTCCTTTAACCCAAAGTCATCATCACTTGAAGTTTTAAGGTCGGGAGACTGGACGACATCAGGGATCCCAGGAAGTTAAGTGAACAAGGGTCAAAGACATGAGAAAGAATAAAGAGGAAGAAAGGAGTGTGCCAGGCTTTCTTTTAGGCCACCAACCAGCTCCCAAATCATGACAAGGAGACTTAACATTAGTTATGAATGCTCAGCTTTATCTTAGGCTCATTTCTGGCTAGCTCATTTAATTTAACCTATTTCTCTTCATGTAAGTTTTGCCTCTGAGCTTTTTACCTTTCTTTTCTTCTCTATGTTCCAGTCCATCTAGCTGGCTGGCAGCTGCCTGTCTGTCTGGCACCAGGCATGTCCCTCTCTTTCTCCCTTGTTCTCCTCTTCTTCTTCTCTCCCATTCTTCTCTCTCTCTCTCATTCTTAGATTTCTCTGCCTACTTATTCCCTCTGCCTGCCAGCCCCGCCTATCCTTTCTCTTGCCTAGCTATTGGCCGTTCAGCTTTTTAATAGACGATTCAGATGCCTTAGGCAGGCAAGGTGAAACAAATGCAACACATCATTATATAATTAAATGAATGCAGCACAAACAAATGTAACATATCTTTACATAGTTGAAATAATAGTCCACAACAAAGGAGTTACAGTCTCCTGGTATAACATGTGTTTTCAGCCAGGGGAGGCACATAGAGGTTTTCTCTCATTTGATCTGGTGCAAGAATTGATGTCTTGGTATCTAGTCTGGTAGAGAACAGAACCTTTGTTGCGTGATAATTTGTTGCATTCTCGAAGAAAC